TCTAACAGTTGTTTGCTTGTGATTCTTATCAGTTCCCACTGCATTTGACTGTCCTTTTACTACTTAGAGCATCTACCTAGCTACCTGTCTGCTTCTAAACAGGCCTACACCTCTGTTTGCCTCTGTGTTCTTCTGCTCCAAAATCTTCATAAGTCCTCTGTGCCAGAAATGCCCTGTTTGATGCCAGGAGTGATCTTCAGAGATTATCTTGAGGTTTTTAAGTATATCTTCTTGAGTTATCCTGAGACCCAGTGATGATAAAGATCATTTAAGAATTCTAAGATGAGAAAAGTAAGAAGTGATTTTTTTTTTATTCATTATTCAGTATCCATGATTTCAAAAATCTTTTCTTCAGCTTACTTTTAAAATTATGCCTTTACCTTCGGAAAATCTGTTCTAGACTAGCATATAGCTCTGCAAGTAGTGATATATTTTGGGCTACTGGCAAAACCTTGAAGGTATACCAGACAAACTGATGAAAATATATACCAGGGAAACAGGTATTGATTTTATTTACCAAAAAGGGTTACATTTTCTCCCCTACACAGTGTTAACATAATCAGAAAAAAAACCCTCCTGTCTATCCCAGCTGGAATGAATGAGAAGTCACTATTGTAATGAAGCCAAGATAAAACAGTTTCCATAAATTTCCATTTTATTTCTTAGTGAACATGATGCTTTCACAAAATAGACATATTTTTGCAAGCCTTGGCTGGTGTACTTGGGGTTAACACTGTTGGTACCCCATTATTACCTCCCTGTCTGTGTTGCTAGTAAATGGAATTGCTTGCTGATGGAACGCCAAGTTTTGCACTTAAAAAGGAGCCTTGCTAGGTTTTGTACTGAGAAAAATAGTCTTGTACTGATGAAATAGTATACTTTCAACTTGGAAAAAAAAGCATCTAGAAAACACTTGTTACGCCATAACACTCTAAAATACACTTTAAAACAAAACTATCAAAAATACCAAATTCTTCCGGTTGGCAAAAGTCTCAGTAAACACTTTTTTTTTTTTTTTTTTTGGACAAAATTTTTTTTTCAGAGTGGGTCTGGCATGTCAGAAATTGATGGGGGAGGGGATCCACAAGAAGGAAATTTGTGATTCTGTGGTAGAAGGAAAACCATGGAAGAGGACGGGTGAGCTAAGGTTACTTGGCTGGATGTCTTCTAACTAGTGTTTCCTTAGAGACACCTTTATTGTGAGAATTACTGCAGGAGATCAGTAGTTATCTTGGGCATGAAAGAGAAGAAGGAAAAAAGAAATATGGAAAAGACTCCACATTCTGGAGAATATCGTGAAAAAGATATTCCATGAATTCTAGTGGACAAACAAAAAACTGCAACTATACTTCCTAACAGTACAAGTTACTTCTCAAGATAATAGTATTTGTCAACGGGTGTTTACGTCATGCCTTCACGGTATTGTGCACAGGACTCAGTCTCAAAAGCCATGAAGGTAGAGTTTGCTGGCCCATTCCATAGGTTCTTCAATCTGCTTTATAAAGCACAAAAGTTATTGTATCTGAGGTTAGCACTTCATCCTGAAAGCTATTGCTATTCCCAGTATACAACTTCACAGTTATTACTAGAGTTAGCACAAAATGGAATAGAAAAATAGAATTTCATGACAAAATTCTGTCCAGCTCCTTGGGGTTTCCGAGTCTGCTCAGGTCTTCTGCTTCCTTTGCAAATTTCTCATTCCAGGTTTTAATGGGTCTTGCTTTCACAACCTTTTTCGACCATCCCATTAGCAGTAGCTTCAAAATGAAGCATGCCAGTGATGCCTATACATCTAGTGGATGAATGAGTCTGCATAATAAATGATTAGTTCTCTGAATCCAAAGGATGAAAAACTAGAAAATATTACCCTGGCTGTAGGCCAGTGTTTTGGTGAAAGGCAAAATATAAGAAACACAATCCCTGGTCAGGAGGGGGCACATGAGTTCACAGGACAGCAAAGCAAAGTGAGAAAACAGATCTGGAAGGGGTAAAATAAGGATATTCACCTGTTCAGTGTTGCGAGATGTTAATACTTGTATTCTGGGTAACGCAAACAGCAAGTGTTTATCCTCACGTTGGCATTGCAATTCAAAAGCTTCCTACACAAATGCAAAATCGTGATACACTAGAATTTAAAGCAGAGAACAGACTACATAATATCTGGTTATTTCTGATGTAGCAAGAATTGCCGTGTGATGATGCAGGGCTTTTTATTAGTTAGGAGAAGAGCTTAGTGTAAAATAATCCCTATCAGAGATGCTTGTGTCAAAGGACTATTAGCTGGAGGGTGACTAAGTTACAAGGCACAATGTTAGGGCCCTTTTCTGATTTCTCATCCATTTAAATCCTCAGAAAATGATCAGTCTCTGTGAATAGAAACCTTTCCAAATCAATTGTTCAGATTCAGCTCATGCTATCTGTTCATTTAAAAGCTATACCTATTCTCTGTGTTGGTTTCAATACGACAGAACTGAAGAACGAAGTTACACGAAGATTGGCTTAGCCTCTTTTTTTTTTTTCCTTGAGCTTCATCTCCTAGAGCTGCTCAACATAAATCCCTTCTTCCTCAGAGACCCAGTTCTGACTTCCATTATAATAAGGCAGGGAAGCAGCCTCTTGCTCTTGTAGGTCAAAATCTCCCTTCTAGACATGTTTTCGAGCAAAAACCAAAATAGACTAAAGAAAGCCTATGTGATGTTGCTGTAAACCCACGTCTTTCTTTCAGAGGTATTTAAACTGATGAGGATAAGTGCAAAAGCCATGGATGCTGCAGTTCCTCCCTTTTAATCCCTTCAGGATAGTTTTGCTAAGAGCAGAGAGGACCTGCTAAATTATGTCCTAAAAAGAAGGGCCCAGACAAAAGAGACTCAACATGCCAGTACATTTTATATAACCGTGTTGCATGTTCACACCCAGTAGGGGCTGCCGGGGCCCCCGTGAGGAGAGACCAGGGCTGCCCTGTGCAGGACACAGCCAGTTCCAATTGACCCACCAGAGGTCATGGCTGGGCCCTGCAGCCAAGATGGTGGCACCCCTGGGGAAGTGTATTTGAAGGCAGGGACAGGCACTGAGGAGTGAAGGGAAAAAAATGTGAGAAACAACCCTGTGAGCACCAAGGTCGGGGAAGAAGGAGGTACTCCAGGCACTAAAGCAGGGATTTCCCTGCAGCACAACCAAGCAGTACCACAGTGGAGCAGTACCCACACTGCAGCCCAAGAAGGGCCCTGCACCAGAGTGAGGGGATATGCTCTGAAGGAACTGCAGTCAATGGACAGTCCACACAGGAACAGAGGGTTTTTTCCCGAAGGGATTGTATCACATGGGAAGGACTCATGTTGGAGTGGGGGAAAAATGTGAGCAGGAAGAAGAAGCCCAGAGGAATGTTGTGGACTGACTGCAAACCTCCATCCCCATCCCTCTGCACTGTTCAGGGGCAGGGAGGAGGTAGAGGAGTTGGGAATGAAGAAGGAAATTGAGCCTGGGAAGAGGTTGAGGGAGGTATTATGTTAACTTTTGTCTTTGTTTCTCACTATCCAAACCTATTTTAATTGGCAATAAATTACATTAATTTTCCCAAGGTGAGTCTGTTCTGCCTGTGACAGTAATTGGCAAGTAATCTCCCTGTCCTGACCTCAACCCACAAGATTCTTGTCTGATTTTCTCCCCCTTGTCCTGCTGAGGAGATGTTGGAGTGCGTTTGACAGCCAGCCAAGGTTAACCCACCACAATAACAAAAATCAGAATTAAGACCATTTGCTGTCCCAAAACAGATAACACACTGTGGCTAATTCCTTTTTCCTCAAGATATAATGTTAGAGTAAAGCTAAGCTTGATATTTCCTCCTTTTTCATTTCCTCAACAGCAAATTTGAAAACATTTTGATGTAACTGTAAGTGCTACACTCACACATTAGTTTTCATGCTCACGCTCTTTACATGGTTAAATGTTTTCATTTTTAGAACACCTCCAAGTTACAGGACTACATTCAGAAGCAAAGGTTAACAGTAAGCAACCACTAACTTTACTAGATTTCACAAGAACCTTGTGGAAGAGAAGTTTGGGAAGGAGCTTTATCACTTCCCTTAGAAAGAGACAACCAGAGAGAGGATAAAGGAAGCTATGAGAACTCCTCACCTCTTTTTTTCCATGGAAAAAATGGTAGCTCACAAAGATGCAGCTTTATCTCTACTTTCTCTAATTCTTAACACAGAACTGTGGCATAAAAACATAAATACTTAAGGACTTTTTTTTACTAATTTTTCTTTATGTGGGAACTATGGGAGGCTGCATAAGGGAACAGAGAGAGAAGCTGCCCTATTGCTGCTCAGTTGCTGCTTTCCTTCCCTAGCTAATTCAGGAGTCCTCTGGAGAAGGCACGAATGTTCATCCCTATGTAGCCTTTAGGCACGAACTAGTTTTCTAACAGTATTACTGATTCCAGAATTAAGTTCCAGTCCTTTCCTTTTTCATTCCTTTAATCCTATATCCTCCATACATATATGCACACAAATATGGGTGGACAAAATCTGCAGCATGTTATCTCTTACAGGCACAAGGACAGAATCAAAGGGTAATTGTGTCTGCTTTCTCTGTGTTTCTTAAAATTCTTGGCCTAGGTTCTAAGCAAAAAGACTTCTCAAGATACATACTGATTTATACCAAGTATAAAATGCATTAAAATTCTGCTTTTAATTAATGTCAATTAGCTTTTAATGTGAAGAGGAGAAATATTGTAACTTTGTTATGAATAGAACCCCTACCGTCTCCACTCAAAGGAAATTTCTGAGGTTACAGCTTGGTGATACCAGAATCCTATCCATTTTGATGTCTGATATCTGATTGCTCTAACCAGACATATAATATAATTATATCATTATGATCATATTTAATTTCTATAGTAAAACATATTTCAATTATAATTATTTCATTATACTTTAACAGGACATGAAATTTAATACCTGATGTTATTTTCTCTTTCTTTTCTTCTCTTTTTTTCTCAGAACAAATTATGACATCGACATCTAAAGGAATTTTCCGGCCATTTTTTATTATCTTCATTGTCCTTGGCTGTTTCATGGCATTGATACTAATTTATATCAAACCAACAAATAGCTGGATCTCTGGTCCCATAGAATCAGCCAGTTCAGTTTTGAAAATGAAGAGCTTTTTTTCTTCCAAAACTGATAATCTTAATGAAACTACTATTTTGATCTGGGTTTGGCCATTTGGTCAAACATTTGATCTAACATCCTGCCAAACAATGTTCAATATCCACGGGTGCCATCTGACTATTGACCGCTCATTATATAACAAATCCCATGCTGTTCTCATTCATCACAGGGATATTAGCTGGGATCTGACTAACTTACCTCAACAAGCCAGGCCACCATTCCAGAAGTGGATTTGGATGAACTTGGAGTCTCCAACTCATACTCCACAAAAGACTGGCATTGAACACCTCTTTAACCTGACCCTGACTTACCGGCGTGATTCAGATATTCAGGTGCCTTATGGCTTCATGATGGTCGGTACAAGTTCCTTTACATTTGAAGTGCCAAGTAAGGAAAACTTGGTCTGCTGGGTTGTAAGTAACTGGAACCCTGAGCACGCTCGAGTCAAGTATTACAATGAGCTTAGCAAATACATTGAAATCCATACCTATGGACAAGCCTTCGGAGACTACGTCAATGACAAAAACTTGATTCCAACTATTTCCACTTGCAAATTTTACCTTTCCTTTGAAAATTCAATCCACAAAGATTACATTACTGAGAAACTTTACAATGCTCTTCTGGCTGGATCAGTACCAGTTGTACTGGGCCCTTCTAGAGAAAACTATGAGAACTACATTCCAGCAGACTCTTTCATACATGTGGAAGATTTTCTCTCTCCCAGAGAGCTGGCAGAATACCTTCTGATGCTTGACAAAAATAACAAGATGTACCTTAGTTATTTCAACTGGAAAAAGGATTTCTCAGTACACCTTCCTAGGTTCTGGGAATCACATGCATGTCTTGCTTGCGATCATGTGAAAAGACACCAGGAATACAAGTCCGTTGGAAATTTAGAAAAATGGTTTTGGAATTAATTAATTGGTGTGTGTATGTGTGTGCACTTTCTTGAAGAAGCCAGAAGAAACTTCAGTGCAAGTGGAGAGGAAAGAGAAAGAAAAAAAAAAAGGAAGGAAAAGAGAACATTATGTCATGGTTTATCAGCTATCCTCTCTTGGCTATCCTATTTATATTTTGTAAGAGATTTTAAAAGATCAGCAGCAGCAGTCATCAATACTTGGTTTTAAATTATAATGTACATACTAATTATGTGCACTGAAGAATACTTGATTGTTTACTATGATTTTTAAACAAGATTTTTCTGTGAAATATGTCCCAGTCTTACACTTAAAGTAGTCATTTTTAACAGTTCTCTTTTTTTTTTTTTTTTAACATTACATTTGCTGTTTAACCTATCTGGAAAATGAGGACACAACTTTAAATGCCAGAGAGAACTTTAAGAACATAATTTGCTGTTCCAGTCTGAAATGTGTGTAATATTAAAAAGACAGTATTTTATGGTTCTTCTTACATTTTAAGAACACAGTAAAGTTAAATACCTGCCATTAGTCCAATATGATCAATTTCACTCCTTTTTAAGGGTGAGAAACCTAGAAATATAATTTCTAAAAGGTATGACAGCAGTAGACAGTCTTTGTTTCTAAAAATAAGATGTGTTCTAACAGATCTCTCCATTAAGTTATGTTAGGAATATGTCTGTTCTTAGTCTTTGAAGAATAAAGTCAGATATAGAGAAGATGTACAACCTTAGTGGCCAAATCTCAGATTCATCCAAGTTTTGAGTGCATTTAAATGCAGCATGTCCTTAAGTCTCATTGTGTCTCAAATATTGTTTACCTGAACCAGGGCTGTAAGTGGTATTACATTGATGATACAGAGACAAACAGATTTTAACATAGGTGTTTGATTACATTAGCCTAATGCACTGAATTCAGCTGGTAGTAATGGATTTTTAGAAATAGACTGTTGAAAATTTTATCAATTTCTCTCATATAATTTCTCAAATAATTGTGAATTTGTACCCAATTCTGCAAAATTGTATCTGTTGAACTTTAATTGTAGCTGAACACCTTGCTGTTATGACTGATGAATGTGAAGAAACAAAAAAATGACCAAAGAGTTTATTTTCTGAAAGAAATATGCTGAAATTCAGTAAATAAGTTATCAGGCTGACACATTCAACCATCAAACTTATTAAGCTAATGAAATTTGAGTTTTGAAAATATTTTATGTGACAGGTATAAAAAATGCACTCAAGAGCACCAGTTGAATTTTGAATATATAAATAGATTCTTAAGTGTCAAGTTTTCTTTGATAGCAAATACAAAAATGTGATGATTGTCATGATTGTTTAAAATGTCTGCTTTTCTGTGATTTTATTACTTATTTGTTTCAGCTAGAACAAAAATATGTGATTGCTATATACGTATTCATGTGTACAAGGCTGGTTTCATGACATAAATGTACAGACGTGTTTTGGTATCAAGTGAAAGCTTGTTTTTTCAAGTCAGAATGTGTTACAAATCACATCTTCTACTGAAAAAAAAAAAGTTTAACTGGAAAAGCACCAGTTTATGTGATGTATAAGACCCTGATCAAGCAAAGTAGTTGGTCATATATTTCATTAAGATTAAACTTGTAGAGAACATTGCTGAAGTAAGAAATAAGGGATAAACTATGATAAACATTTAGCAAAAGATATGGTGATTTGCCGGATTTTTTTTTTTTTACCCCAGGTTGGAATAGAAACACAGAAGACTGTAAGAGAAATGTAGTCAAATTTCTAAACCAGGAAACTCCACAGGAAGGTTATAGAAACACTTGTGCTCTCCCTATGGCTTCAAAAGCTGGATTCTGATCGATATATTTATTTATATTACTTATTGTTGTCTTTAAAAGCCAGTTTGCAATATATACTGTGAACCTCCTAAACTCACCAGCATTCCAATACAAAGCAAGAGAGCTTACCTTGCAAATTAATGCAATATAATGAAACCAGACTTCTAAAAACAAAGTGCTGGTATGGATGTATATGTAGGTAGATGTGAGTAGTATTTCCATCATTTTTAAAGCAAGTGGCTATTGCTTACAGTCTGTCCTATAGGATATAACACCTTTTGTTTTCAGGAGGGCAGTGAAACCCTCTGTCACTGAATATGCTACTGCTTTGGCTGAATAATCTGATTCCCCTGATGCTGGAATTTGGAAGTTATTTGCATTGATCTCAGTGGAATTGCATTCACCCCTTGGTGAATGTGCACAGTCACTTAATTCATTCCTCATTTCAGATAGTGGGAGTTGTTTTGTGTGTCACGAGGCCTTATATCAAATCAGATTGGTTTCTTGGCATCAAGATTTAGCCAATAAATTCTTATATTAACAGCAAGTAAGCCCAATAATAAGATATATGATTTGTTACTACAAATATCAATCAGTGTATGCACAGGAAAGCTTTGAAATACATGCTGATTTGTAAACCTGTAAGTAATGTCATTACCTCTGTGAGCACTGGATCCAGTCAGCATGGCTAATCTGAAATTTTAAGTAATTGAAAATCTTATGATGGAACAGGAAGGAGAGCTGTTCTCTTCACAGAAACTCCACACATGGCCAGTATACTTTGCTTTTGGGACACATTGCTAAAATCATTTCAGAGATTAATGAAACAGGAGAGAAATCTAATCCAGATTGAAATGACCAAGAATCATGACCAAATTCTAAGCAAGAGACATGACCTCACCTTCACTGACATTCTTGGAGTGTGGGCTGGACCATAAGTAAGCCAGGCATTTATATTAAAGTAATCTGCATCTGCAGGTATCAAACCTTAAGCAGTTCTGGATATGAAGAGCTTTGATGACAGAAGATGAATCACCTTAGGGCATGTCCAGCCTATGTAGTAAATGATGTGAAGTGAAGGATGTAAAACATCTGAACTCCTTGCATGGATAAAGGCAGTCTACCTAAACATATATGCCTAACTCACAGAAGATTGATTCCAGTCTAGATACGTAATATTGTGTTGTGATGTCTGTGCTCACTCAGTGAGCTACCCTACATGAACAGCCTAGCATAAATAGATTCAAATAGTAAATCATTGTGAAGGAGAATGGGCAAAACCAATTAAGTATGGATTAAAATATATAATTAATATATGGAACTAGTTCAAATAAAGAATATGATATTATTTACACCTTGCTACCACTGGTAAAGAAGGTAGCTGTACAAGAAAAGAGAAATGAAAGATGAGAAATCACACCAATTCTTACTATCTTCTCAACAAATTTATGTCAAGTATTCAGTTTATTTTATTTGCCAGTCCACAATAATCTTCCATATGCACTTGTCACAAGTTAACTCAGCAGTCACTGAAGACAGAGAGTAATCATTATTCTTCCTTTTACGACTTCTTTTGGATGTTTTTAGGCTCTATGTCATGCACAGAGCTATCAAGATTACTGCCTTTCTCAGTGTGGAAAGTAAGACCCAAACCAGATAAAATACTAACTGCAGATGCATCACTACTCTGCTGAATGTGAACATACATCAGTCAGAACTAGCAGCAGATCTTTCTAAAGCAGAGTTTAATTTAATTTCACAAACATTCAATGACCATAGTACCTCTTGCTCAGCAGATCGCCATCCGTTAGTGAATCCTGGTTGCCAGTTTCTTTGAATACTTCTTGCTAAGATGGCTGTACTCACAATGAAGCAGCAGTCTGACCAAAGCCCCCAGAAGTTGCAAGGCACATCCAACAACATATTTGTCTTTTAAGAAATATATCAAATAAAATGAATGTTGGACTGAGCAAGAATGTATGTGGAGATATCTAGAGTTCATGCAGGCTGAGCAAGATATGTGAAACTGGCACTACTCAGCACAGTAAACAGCTACTTACTGTTTTCTTGCTACTTATGTATGTTTAAAAAGAACCAACAACATAAGGTAATTTTCTAATCAAACAAGCTTCAGTTAAACAAGCAACAACTGTTGCTGATTATTCAAGGGTGGGATTCCTGCTTGCTTTGTGTTACCTCCTTTATTAGACAGAAAAGTAACTTTCAGGGGACGAGTGAAGTCTGTCAACAAGCTATAATATATTTATTATCTGATTTCAAGAATCCTATTCTTTTCTTTTTTTATTTTGAAATAAATCTTCCTGTCCTTATGCAGTAAGATTTTCTGGACTTGATTCAAGAATAACCTTCAGCACATATGCATATGATCCTGAGACTCAAGCATGGGCTTAAATTTAAGAGCATCTTAAATGTTTTAATGCACTGGGGCTTCAAACAGTATGTTTTTACTGCCTTTGGAATTGTGCCAGAGAATACAGTCTGTAAGCAACAGAGGCTGATTTGTACAGCCTTTTGCATTATGTGTGTCCATTCTATGAGTAGACTGGCTATTCCACACTGAAAACTGTTTGAACCAATTCTGCCTTAGAGTTTATCCAATATGTTTTGGCCCTACACTTCTGCTTCAGCATACTATATATGCTACTGTTGCCTCATGCCATTCACTCAGCATGGCACTCCACCCAACCTCCTGCCTGTGCTGTGGAGGGTGAATGAACTTGCTGTCATGTAAGGAGCTGAGAGGAGCTGAGGCTTGCTGAGATAGTATTTCAAGGACCTGGCCATGTGTGCATTCTTTTAATCTGGACTGAGTGTGCCCTAGAGAGGGTCAGTCTCAGCCATACCTCATTTTCCTTTTGGAGGAATATATTTGATTCAGCCTAGATGGGACTCTGTGAGGGATCAACTGTGCATGAAGAGTGGGAACAAGAGTTGTGCCTGTACAGGCTGATAAGGAGGCTTCTCACCTATTTAAACTTAACAGTGAAAGTTAATCAAATACTCAAGTTTTTCTTGGTCAAAACTAGTACATTACTGAGAAGACAGTCTAGGGGAAATATTTGTTTATCTACCAGTTGGTAGGCTTTTTCATTAATAGTGACTGACAGTTCTGTTTTGTTTGGTTTTAGTGTGAGTTTTAATTGTTAGAAGTCAATCAATATGATTAATAGAAAATAGTTATTTCAGCTTCATCTTTCACTCTTGCTCAGGCAAATCTTCCATGAAAGTCAGCAGGTGATTTGGGAAATTTCCGTGCTAGTAATGCACTGAGCCAAGGGTGGAATGGCTGGGGTAAAAAATCACCTTCTTATTCATGGATGTTTCTCTTCTAATATCTGAATAACTAGCTCAAGTGCTATAACAAATTCTACCTTCATAAAATCAGTATAAAATTCATACTGGTTAGATATGTTCATAAAAGGTACAGAAACACCAAGAAATTTACTAAATAAACGGTGCAGCAGTAATTTTAATTGATGGTACAAATGCCACAGATTGATACATATGATAAAAACATAAACTCATGGGAAATTATTGGGTCAAGAGACATCAACCTTCAGTTTTCATATTGAAAAAAGTCACTTCATTACTCCTTTGGAAAGATAATTAATTTGGAATATGTCACCATATTCTCAGTTAACTGAAACCAACAGTCCCTGTACAGTGAACAGTTCAGAGGTTTGCTCATGTGGCAGACAGCCTTTTACCTCCAGGTTAATAGCCTGTATTATGAGTAGGTTGGTACATACAGCTGCTTGGCAACCTCTTGTAGGTGACTTGGTGATCTCAGTCAGGTTTCTCATTCTTGCTTTCAGCCAAGGAGGCATAGAACTGAACCAAAACTCATCGGACTTCTTCTGTGTATTTCTTGACACACTCACAGGATGACTTAGGACACTCTCACTCCTGCAGTCTGTACCATACCTGTTTATGCAGAAGACTTCACTGTTATAAGAAATGAACACTGGTATTTTTCTGAGTTATGGTGACAGTCTGTAAAAATGAAGTATTTTTACAGGGGGAGCTCTTTATTAACATTCCTAAGTAAATAATTAGTAGGAAAATCATTGCAAATTGGCAGCAAAAGTGATTGTTTGTTATTCTTTATATGAATCAGTCCAGTCAAAATCAGGCTTTGATGAAACTTTATCCCCATGGCTTAATACAGCCTGATACCCACACATACATGATAGCAAAATTTGAAAGATATAAAGTAAACTAACACTTACATATATATAAAGTTGGCATAAATTTCCTATAGGGCTTTGAAGCTCTAACTAAACACTTCAGCAGTCACCAGATGAAAAATGTTCTCATCAACCCCTTCATAACATGATAGGAAAAGCCCTCCTGATATATGCTCTTTGGCAAATAACCCAAAATCTACATATTCCTTTGCTGTTTTGTTTTGTAATACACGTTATAAGAGATGAGATTTTAAAATCTGAAAAATTAACTCCTTCGTGCAATTTAATGTTTTAAAGATTCAGTGGATATACTGAAGAGAAGAAAATGAGACGCTTTTCCATCTATACAAAATCCTAGCGTGCCAAACTGTTTCCAGTGAATGAGCAAAACAGTTAAATATACTGACTTTTTATTAGGATTTACAAAACCTTCTATTAACACACTGTAATTTTGCACTATTTTGTAAGAAAAAAAAGGAAAATGAAAAAAGGAACTGAAAAAGAAACAAAAAAAATCTAAAAATAGATGCCAAATGTATAGTTTGTAAAATACTATTTTTCTTAAATTAGGTGTCATCACATTGTGAATCTTACTGTGTTATAGTAAACTGTGAAAACTGTGATGTAATGTTGTGACACCGCCTACCAAGGGCCATTTCTAACAGACAGAATAGTCACCTGGACTTGTTTATATGAAACATAGTCATAAATCTGAGATCACTTTTATACTTATTTTTTGTAGACTATTTTTCCACATTTACAACACAACTGTTATTTTATATCAGACATTAATTTTGCTTTAAAATATTATTTTAATAGGTGGGTGGATGTCTTAAATGTGCCAGATTCAAATCTGTAACAAAGATAATTCAGAAACTCTTCTTTGCCAAACTGTAATGCTACTGAAATCAAAGATGTTTTGTTGAACACACAGGCTTGTGTTGTCAATTAGTTTCTATTCCATGATAATGCTAATAATGTTATATTTTTTAGATAAATGCCTGGTAGTCATGAGCTGCATTTCCATTCTGTCCTTCTCTATGTTGGGGAAATGAAACTGAGTGCCATAGCTGAATGTCATAGATATTCAGACACTCACATAACGTGCCATGGACTTGACCTCTGAAATATATTGATGAGAATTAGGAGAAAAAAACCTTTCAGCTGCTTGTCCTGATTCAAACCCATTTTCTGTGGTGGGTTACATGAAAATGGGATGGTTGACACATACAGGACTAGTATGATCTCTGTAAAGACAGTAAGGTTCTGTATGTAGAAACACAGGGCCACGTTTACTTTCTCAGTGCAAGATCAGGACCAAAGTCCCTTTCTATTTGAACTTACACACACAGCATTGAGTGGGATCTTATATGAACCCTTGCTTCATGTTCTCAGCTAATGATATTCCTTGTACTGACAATTTAATATTTTATGTGTTTTACATAGTATATACATGATGCATAAAGTCATGCGTAAGAAATAGTAACCATGGAAAATTGAATTTTATTTAAAAAAAATGAAAACCATTCTTACCTGCAAGCACATTTTAAGATGCCATGTTCAAACAAGACCTTGTAAAAATCTGTATTTTTTATTGATTGTATATTTCACCCCATGATCTAGACATTTTATAGCAAAGATTTTACCAAATTTATTCTTTGTTCCTTTTAACAATACCATCATCCTGAAATGCATCTGAAAAATGTAGGGTTTCAACCACTGATGTTTTTCAGAATTTTGGTTTTTTTTAATTTGTTGTTGTTGTTAACTTTCTTCTGATTCCCTATAGCTATGTTTAGAGTTTTCAACACAATCTGACTGCAGTCAGAAGATACTCACTGTACGAAACTACAGGAAACTGTAACCATTTCAAGGACTTTAATCATCTATATGAAACTAATATTTCAGAACTCTGATTCCAAGATGGTTAACAAGCAGCTCACTGATTCATATTTATTCAGCACTGGAATTCTCCCCAAAGGATAAACACTGAATTATGTAAATAGTAGCGCTCTATATAAGCCTAACAAATTATTGTAATAGGTATATTTAAAATAAAAAGAGAACATTCCACGTGTACCATAGTCTTTGATTATTATTTCATAGGCCTAACGTCATCCTTTTTCCTCTTGCGGTAGTTCTCATGAAGAGCCTGCGCTAAAGATTGTTACTCATTCCCATGACTTCTGGCTGAGATATCACAAACAGCATTTTAGTTTTTTTTAAGGTCTTACACATGAAAGTCTTGTAAGCATTTAGGGTCAGACTGAATTCATATGGACTGTTACATTCATTTGCTGCGTACAGCAAACAATACAGCTGAATCACTATGGTACTACAACTTACTTTGCCTTGCTTTTAGCAACATAATTATGGAGCACTGTCTGAGCAATCATTTGATTTTTCTGTATTTATGTTTGCTACTGGAAAATGGGTTTGCCACTGAAATAAATGTAATAAATAATGCAGTGGAACAGAGCATTTGGTCCCAGTGATCACAAAGTTCATCCAAGAAAGAACAATATGTCTGACTACTGTGCAGCTTGAAGAATGAATGGATTTGTGACTTCAAAAATCCTTTTCCTCTCTATCAGACGGGCAAACTTGCTTTCCTCCTGAGCTAATAAAACTTTGCTAACTTGATACATTCTTTAAAAATGTATTTAATTTATGCCATTTACTCAAACCAAACTTATAGTCATCTTGAACTCATCCTTGATAAGTACAGAGACAGACTTATGTTTTTAATAGTACATGGGAAAAAAATCATTGCCACATTTATTCCATTTCATTATCCCCCTCCCATTTTCTCCTTACATTCAAATACCACATCAGAAAGCCAATGCAGGACAGAACATACAACTTTCTGTCTAAACCAGAACTTTTTTTCTGCAATTATCCATTTCTTCTTCATCTTGCTTACAACCTCCCCCTTGATACACCAACCTATTGGACACAAAGCCTTTGTGTGTTTGGAAGGCCAGGTCTCTGCCCCTGAAGGTCAGAAACAGTCAACCTGATGATCTGTTTCTGAAAGCACAGCACTGAGGTGAAATCAGAAAGAAAACCATGGTCATGCCTAGAAGGTGCGCAGGTTTTTAACACTGCCAGCAATGGAAGGCTATTACAAATGCCGAAGCCACATTTGTGGGTGATAAGGATGATGTAGCACAACTTCCTGGAACAGTGAAGCAAGCAGTAAGCCCACATAAGCTTTACACAGGTTGGTCCTTCAGCACAAAACAGCTCATTGAACCAAACATGCAGTCAGTGTGAGTCTGAGAGCAGGCTCGCACCTCTCAACAAGGCTAATAAAGAAGGTAAGACAAAAAATTAGCTGCTTCTCAGCCCATTAGCTGGTTGCATCCTGGCTCACCACAGTTCAAAATACACCATGTGAATTCTCACTCTGACTAAAACAGCAGCTTCCATTCAAGGAATATATTGCCTCAATATACATTTTAACCCCAGTGAAGTCTTTGCATCAGATAACAAGCCTTTAGACAAAAAACATGACTGTAGTTTGAGTTATCTCGGAGCAGACTTCTACATGTAGGTGTATAGAGGCATAACAAATTTCTAAGCTCCCCCTACATGTAAAGGAGTCACAGGTTTAAAAAAGTAAATGGAGGCCAAGAAAAACTCACCTACACGGTGTGTCTTCATCTTTAATCCTGCCTAAAATCACACAAAAAGAAAATAACATGTTAAGTAGCAGTTCTATGGCAATCATTATTACAATTGATTTTGATCTACAAATCACAAAAAATGAAAGAGAACAAAGCTGCTTGTGTTGAAAGGTGAAAATTTGCCAGGTTTCTTTTTTTTTTCAGTTAAAATTAGTTGCTTGTGATATTTGAATTGATACTTTTATGAAAGATCAAAATCATTCTCAAAAAATTTTGCATTTAATCAAATATTTAAGTT